CAGTATACAAGGGTCCTTTTTGATACTTTGCAAGCCTTTGTTTTCCTTTGTTTCTAACTCAAATTCAATTATGAAAAATGAATATCTATCATTGTGGATGCTATTTTCAATTCCCATGCATATAATCCTGAGAGACAACATCCACGAGCATAAATCCCTCGGTCAATGAACTCAATCCATCTATTTCTATTCAAATATCATTCTAATTAACTCCAAACACTTCGAAAGCGTCCAAGTGTCTATGAAATCACCTGAAACATTAAGAAATACACAAACAAAGCGTAATAGATCGATATATGATGACTTATGCAAATATGACCCTAAAATCGACCAAAAATAATATGCGCCTAAGAACCCTATATAAATATGATTCATCAACTACCACCGCCGTCAAGGGAGGCTCGACGGTGGCAGTCTTTTCCTCTTTCTCCTTCTCCTTTTCTTTCTCTTTCTGTTTCTCTTTCTCTTTCCCCTTCTCCTTCTATCTCTTACTTTCACCCTTCTTTCTCTCTTTTGTTATCGACGGAGGGTCAGAGGGTGAGCGTCGCCGGCGTCAGGGAGGCTGGACGCGCGACGCTTCTTTCACTTTCTCTTTCTGTTTCTGTAGATACCTAAAAATGTCTCCCCAAAACCAAACCCGATGATGAACAAACTTTCACCACCATTATTAATTGGGTTGGTTATTTAATCTTTGGAGTGCTTTATCCATGTTTTCATTCAATACATTTCATAAACCAATCCATTTCCTAGCTCATTTCCCTAAACCATAACTTGTTTTCCTCTTTTCGTAACCGAGAGAAACTGATTTTGTGGCCTAATAATTTTGATCCAATTATTATGTTGTTGGATAGGTCTTGAAATCAGATTTCCAACCATATATCATAAGCCCAATTCCGATTTAAAACGAAAAAGATATGAGCAAAATACTAAACTCGACCCAAAACCGACACCCTTCTACTAAAATGGCCATATCTTAAAATCTACAAATGATTTTGACCTGATTCCAATTGTTTTGGAAAGTAAACTAATATTTCCAGTGATATATTATATGCCTTATTCTGAGTTATGGATCAAACGTTATGATAATTTCAAAAACGCGTAAAAAACTGGAATTACCGCGCACAGTGTAAAAACACCGTGTCACGGAAAAATCTGACGTGGCACGGTACGTGGTGCTATGACACGGTGCATGGTGCCGTGACACAGTAATTCCCAACGTGTCAAGGTGCTTTTTTCATGTTTTTTCCGAGTGAAAATCCACCGTGTCACGAGAATAGTTGCCGCGCCACGGGATTTTGCACCGCGTCACGGTACAATTTCCTGTGTCACGATGCCCATTTCATGACACGGGGTTGTTCCATATATTCTCCGTGTAAACTCTTCACGCGTTTTTATCTTTCGTAAGTTAATTATTTCCCGTGTCAATCCAGATTGCACCGCGTCACACTAAACTGTGTAGTGTCACGGCAGTGTTTTTTAGGGTTTTTATCTTTTCTAGGGTTCCATGTGATCCCCTAATCATTGCCTCTATAAATACCCCCCTCCTTTCTACAATTCGAGGCATCAAATCATTCTCTCTTCCTTTCTTTTACACCAAAAATCATTATCTTCTCTCTCTTTCTCATATTCCAAGCCTTAAACCTATATTCTAAATTACATCATTCTTCCCTTAAGCACTCCAAGGAGTCCATACTTAATCCGAGGTTCCGTCCTTAAACCAAGGCGTGAAAGGTATAAATAACTGAGGGTTTGGATCAAATCAACTCTACATTTATTTATTTTAATTTTCATCTGATTTATATTTTTTATTGAAGTTATTAACAATTTATTCATGATGTAGCAATTTTAAGGAACACGCGGAATGTGAGTAATTAATTAATTTAATTACTTATTTTATTTTTATATTGCTAGTATCATGATTAGGTTAATTTATATTTGATTTGACCAACGTTATTATTGTTAAATTGCTTCCAATATTGATATTTATTTTATTTATTGATCACCATATTGCATGTTTAAAGGGAATATGTAATTGAAAATCACGACTAATAAGATAATTTGGACGACCGATTTAGGTTCCTTTTTAATCTTATTGTTTAATCAAGTGATCACAATATTTTAGAATTATGTAGTGCATTAATATTCAACCAATTTAGCTTAATAATAGTTTAGAGCAAATTAAATCTTTGTTTGTATGCCTTTGAGATCGCAGGAATCACTTTTCACAATAAGAATCGAGTAGAGGTCAATACAGGCGGTGACTCCATGACTCATTTCGTACCATCATCCCCAATCCTCCTTTCATGGTTCCGAACCATATGGAGTTAGTAATCTCATGGATTATGAATGGGGTGTAACCTTCACATATCAATCGTTGTTGCCTATTGTTGTCCCTTTCTCGTGGTTGCCTTATAATGATCCGTGAACGAATTACAAGTTCCTTAAAAACTTGTTGGCGACTCCCTACTTTCCTTGTCCTTAATCGTATACGTCGGCCCACTTCCTAAGAGTGCCAAGCATATTCACCACATGCTTTAACGTAGGCGCACTTCGAGCAACGCCTACAGTTTCACTCTCTCTTTTTCTTTCCCCCTTTTCTCTCCCGACGTTCCCCGCATCGTTGGGGAACCACTTCGGCGCTGCCGTCTCTCTCTCTCTCCTTTTGTCGTTATTTCCCCCTTTTTTTTAGGTCAAACTGTTTCAATTTGAAAGGGAGTTTTTTTTTTTCAAAAGCTTATATTTTCCAACGGAATTGTCATCAAAACACTAAATCCGTCAGAAATTTTGAAATTTGCGACAGAATTATTCGTCCGTCGCAAGATATTCGTCGCTATTTGGCCTATTTCTAGTAGTGTTATCCCACGTATCCCTAAACAAGCCCACGAACCAACCTAAACCATGGAGTGCGGTTTGCCAATATTTCAATTGTGGGACTTGCTTTTCGCCAACGACGACATATTGGGTGGTTGGGGCTGAGTTCGATTTGTGACGGCGGTAGGTTAGAGGTTGGTATCACTGACCATGGAAGAGTGTTGAGGTTGGGCTCATGACAGGGGTGGTGATTTTATTTTAATTAATCATTTTTTTAAAAAAGAAAATTGTAAAAAAAAAAAAAAACAACTAAGCTATTTTTGGCATTCTATTTTAGGTAAATGGTTATCAAAGGTTGTTTTATTAAGGAATAATCAAAAGCTCGTTTTATTTTTGAAAGAAACTAAAAGGTTATTTTATTCTTGACAATTTTTCCAATAAATTATTCTAAATCACACTTTTACTACTTTGTGAAAATAAATTTTGGGAATTAGATCTATTTCGTTTAGTGAAATTAATTAAATAAAAAAATTATATTATTTCAACAACGAGTGAAAGTTGTTGAATTTTGTTTCTAAGCATGTGTTCTCTTCGTTAATTTTGGTTTTAAGCTTGTATAATTACTATTTTATTTTTAAGCATAGCTAGAATTATTTTCTTTTCAAGCTTTTGAAAATGTTTCTTATTATTATTTTTAAAAAATGATGTTATTTTGTTAAAATTCTATAAAAACACTTCCAATTTAACAAATTTTTTGTTATAAAACTTGCTAATCTTACATTCCAAACTAAATATCAGTGTCCTAATCCACATTCAAAGGTAGTAATTACCATTACTTACTCCCTCCGTCCCCAAAATTTCAACTCTTTTTGGGTTGATTTCGCGGTTATTAAGAACTTAAATAAAAAGAAATAAAAACATATTGGAAAGAAATTTACATGAGGTTTGTAAAAAATTAGAGAGATAAAGTATTAGAAATACAGAAAAAACAAAATTTTATATAGGAAAGCTGATTTTGCACAAATATTGTTGTAAATTGGTGGGTATTTTTAATGCAAATGGGTCGATTATTTTGGGACTAAAATTAGGCCAAAAGGGGTCGAAGTTTAGGGACGGAGGGAATATAACAATATTAATACTCCGTCCCTAAGAGCAAGTTTAGCTCCAAGTCTTAAGACTTGGATGTGACATCATTTTTGGTCGATTATTTTCAATGGGAACCACCAAAAATGATGTCATCAAATTCTTGTTAAGACTCATTAACACTTACACAAATTTATCACTTTAGCCCTAAGACTTAAATATTTGACATATTATATGTAGAAAAGTGTAAAAAAAAAGGAAAATAAAAATAAAAGTGAAGTGGGTGAAGTGGGTTCCAATCTCAAGTATTAAGTTAAGTCTTGAAATTTCAAGACTCAACTTGGGACTTGCTTGAGATTTTTGAAGAAAAATGGGAAAAGTCTTAAGTATAAATCTTAAGACTCAAAATGATGATGTCACCCCAAGTCTTGAGGCTAAACTTGCTCTAAAACTTTGAATGTTCATATTTTAGTCCCTTATGGACATATTTTAGTTCCAAAATATTCACCCCATTTGCCTTTTTCAACAACTATTAATATTAATGTTTTATAAAAATTCCCTCTAATTTGCAACAATATCTGTGCAAATTTAACTATTCCATGTAAATTTTGTTTTCCTATGTGCTTTTATTACTTTTTCTCTCTACTTTTTTGCATACCCAATGTCTATTTACTTTTTCAATGTATTTTAATTATTCTTTTTTGTGTTTATTAATTCCCGTGAAAAATGCTTATAAGGGACTATTAAAAGGGGACGGAGGGAGTATTATTTTTTATTTTCTGATTGATGAAATTTTTTTAATTAAACTCGCTAATCTTACATTCCATACTAGATATCGTTGTCTTGGTCCACATTCAAAGATAGTAATAATCACTACTTAAAAGTTAAAACTATTGTAAATTTGTAATTATTCTAAAAACTTTATTTTTCCAACTTTTGATCATTATAAATTAAATTTGTTCTTGACTTCCTCCTCCTAATAATGTGATTGAGTGAAATGCTTTTTAAGCAGTTATAATGAAATGAAGTAGTCGTACAATCATGGCAAAAGCAAGATTTACCGACGTCTTAAGCTACGGAAAAAGGCAAAAGATATTACTCTATTATTATAAACCCTTTTTTTTAAAAAAAAAAAATTCAAGATATTTTTATAATAACTCCAACAGTACTTACAAGTTCCAACTTCTCGAACTTCGTACAGCCGGGAACTCTCTTCTCTCTTCTCCCTATCTCACACTGTCACACTACCCATGCTTCATTTATCACCCTTCTCTCTCTCTCTCCTCCCTTCATTTTCTCCCCACATTAAACTCCTTAATTAAATATTTAAATACTTAAGTAACTCCTTAATACAAACAAAACAAAACTCAACTCCATTTGAATAAACTGAGTTAACTACATACTCAGCAAACTACTCTCTCTTTCTTGGCTTTCATTGTCGGTGATTCAACCAAAATCATTAAAAAAATGGGCGAAACTCACAACCATGACCATCACAACCATAGCCAAAACAACCACCCACCTCCGCCGTCGCAGCCGATGGCTCCACCACCACCGCAGCCAGGGTCACATCTTCCGATGGGCGCTGCGAGGGGTCCCATCTTTCAGCCTCAAGAACAACTCACCAATCTTCACTATTGCATCCACTCCAACCCCTCTTGGCGTTAGTCTCTCCCTTTCGCTCCCGTCATTGCATGTTCATTAAGGGCTTGTTCGTTATCGCTTTAACTGTGGAAACTGTAAAAATAGTTTCCGCTTTTTTGTTGTCAGTTTTCGAAATCAACATCACTATATTATATAAGTTTGTGTAATTTTTTCTCATGATTTAATCTAAATCAGAGTTGATGATTATAAAACTGACTGTGATACCCAACGAGCCGTTAATTGCTGATTTTAATTCAAAATTTTATGGGTTGTTTTTTTGTTTGTTGTATTGTGTTTGTATTGAAAAACTAAGTTGACTAACTTTTTGAATTAGTATTGAAGTGAAAAGGTTTTGAATTTTCATTTATTATTATTTATTTGTATTGGTTTGAATCTAATTTGATTCGGCTTTTTGGTGATACGATTCCAACTTTTTTTCCTGGGATTCTATAGTAGTATATGTTGAGGGTAGTTGATCAGGTGATACTTTTTGGAAGTGAAGTTTGTGATCTTTTTAGTATCTGTATTAATTAATGAGTATATTGAAATTGGATTAGTTACTTAATTATATGTTTTTTTTTTTTAAAAAGAAAAAATTAGAATTTTTCTTGAAGGGAATGAATAAAGTTTCTTTCTGTGTTAGCTTTTTCCTTTAAATGGTTGTAGACTAATGTTTATTATTTAAGCTGTTTATTAGACGAGGGCTGGACATAAATCGCCTTTTTTCAATATCTTATTCGATTTTTTGGTAGACCAAGCATGTATCTAATGGTAGGCTTGACAAACTGATATTGAGATATCTTAACTCGGCTTGACGAACTGATATAGAGATATCTTAACTCGAAGTTAGGGGGACATGAATACATGATTGAAAGTGTGCCCATGGTAATCGTATCGGATACAAGTTTCATTTCACTGATCAACAGTTGAAGTCCGTGTTATTTGGATTCAACTAGTAGTGTCATGTGTCTCTAATGTCAGACATGACCATTTTATAAAGGTTTTGGTCCAAAAATAAAATGTCATGTGTCGTGTATCTGTATCTGAGATGGGAAAGAATTGGAGTAATGTAGGTGGAAATTGAATGAAAGGTCAAATTAGGAAAATAAGTGAGTTTTGGAGTTTTAATTAATATGTTCCTCTCATAGGTTCAATAGTCTATAGATAGGAAATTGAAGAAATAAAATGGAGAGGACATGATTTCTAATACTAGGCTTTTTTTGGACATACTTTGCTAAATACGGTGTGGCATTTTATCTCCCCAACTTTGTTTGATTCTCAAGGTGCTGGGGGTGTGAATATGTCAGCCACCTAATGTAATACTATAAGATAGAGAACCATTACTCACAAACTTGGGTGGAGAGCGCGAGGAGGATATGAAGAGAGTTTAGATTCAAAAGTGAGAATTCCACCTTGGCAAGCGCTTTGAAGGATTATCATTAATGTCAAATGATAGAGATGCTGTCATTGTTTTGTCTCAATGATAATTGGATATACTCGTGTATTATTCCTATTTGTTGATTTAACATCGTTAAATCCAAAGTCAACTCACAGGTTACTCAATGGTTTTTTGCTGCCCATTTACTGTGGCAGTCTGGCAGGGGATCAAGGGGGCTGGGCATACTCTCTCTACCAGTGGGACATGTTTGTGAAGGTCTATGTTTTAGATTGGTTACATTGTCCGGGAATATAGGTTCTATTTTTGGCCTATATAGCTTTAGAAGATAAATACTACATATAACCTTGCTTGGTAGAGCCTAGGAGAATAATTTTCTTCTGGAGTGTGGACATAGTGGCTGGGGGGTTATAGGCTCTCTTTTGGCCATAGTTATAGTAGAAAAATTCGGTATAATCTTGCTTAGTAGAGTCTGGCGAAAAGTTTAGTTGTGGACAATGAACATGGCTACTATGTTAGTAATCCATGTAATTCGGTGTGATCTCTCATAATTCTTTGTTATGAGTAAGATAATTATTTGTGAATGATTATAATTAAAAGCTTTAGAGGAATGAAATGAAAATAGTATCTTCTACATGCATACTCCACCCTCCCTCTTCTTGCCTTTTTGCTAAAAAGATGCTCAATATTTGCAGACCAAACTTGCATACTGGGTTTTCAACACTACATTGTCATGCTTGGAACAACTATCTTGATCACCAACTCCATTGTGCCTGCTATGGGCGGTAACCGTGTAAGTTCCATTTACCTTGCTAGTTTTAGTTTAAAGTATATGTTGGTATTGTATTGTGCTAAACTTTCAGTTTGTTGCATGAACTTTAATCCTTGTCTTTTCTTTATATTAGGGGGATAAAGCCCGTGTAATCCAATCTTTGCTCTTTATGTCGGGAATAAATACTCTTATTCAGACCTTGATCGGGTCTAGACTCCCTGTGGTGATGGGTCCATCGTATGTGTATCTTATACCCGTTATGACTATCATCCATAGCAATAATTCTGGATATTTTGCTAGTGAACACCAGGTAAGAGGTTATTAATCTCTGTATTTCAGTTAATGTTCAAGATTTTAATTCCTGCTTCTATAAGTCAACAATACAACCCACGTTTTTCTCAAAAAAAAAAAAAAAAAAAAAAGTTAACAATACAATTATACAATGATTAAAAATGCAGCGTTTTCTCAAACCGTTATATATATATATATATTTTAAACTCTAACGCTTCCTTTAAACTTTCTTGAATTTACTCTTGGTTCTCTTTTAAAACTCTCTTCATTTTTCTTGGATGCTCTTTCTTTTTCTCACTTTACTCACCTTTAATTTCAAACTATTTCAAATGATTATCTTGTTATGCTCCTTTCTTAATATCGTACAGTTCCTTATGACACATCATGTTAGTCGACCCCAAATCATTTTGGGACTAAGGCTTTGTTGCTGTTGTTGTAATTGCTAAATATATCTGAGAATATATCTGCTGGATTTGATTGGAATGTTGGATATATTGATAGTTACTATAAAATAGAGCACTTGGACTAGTATGGGAAAGACACCAACTTCCGCGCATAGCTTTTAGCAAAACTGACCTTCAAACGCTTGCAATGAAGATAACCATCAGTAGACAAAAGACTGTAAAGTGATGCAATGTTAAATATCATGAATGTGCTCAATGTATAACATATACGTAGTATTTGCAATATGATTTTGCATATTTACCATTTTCCCAATACTTATTTTGGATCTGAGTTGGCCATCATGCCTATTTATACTTGAGCCATTGGTAATCTACATTTCGTGTACATGTCTAAAAAATTTTAGAAAATTTTTAGACATGCTGAGGCCTTGAAGATTGATTTTTGGTGCAGAGGTTTATCCACAATATAAGGACTGTTCAAGGATCATTGATAGTATCATCTTTTGTCAGCATTATTCTTGGATTTAGCAAAGCATGGGGAAACTTAACGAGGTTGGAAATTGTCTTCCTGTGAAAATACTTCCGTATTTCAATTTACTAGTCTAATGCTCTTATATCACCGATGTGTAATTTTAATTAGATCTTTAGCCAAGATAATTTTTTGATCATCTCTTTGTTTTTTATAATATATCGTTAGCAGGCTTTTTAGTCCAGTAGTCATCGTGCCTGTAGTTTCAGTGGTTGGGCTTGGTCTGTTTGCAAGGGGTTTTCCACAGGTATTGTCCTCTTTTTGGGTTTGAGGAACATTTATTTGAGTTTTAAGGCTTCAAACGTTGCTGATGAGATCTTATGCTTCGTTACAGCTTGCAAATTGTGTGGAGCTGGGCTTACCAATGCTAATTTTGCTAGTTCTCGTTCAACAGGCAATTTTCAGATTGACTGATATCACTCTCTTTCATCATTAAAAGGGTACAAACTGACCTATGCTAAAAAAACATAAGCTTATTGTGCTTTGCTTTTTCAGTATGCAAAACGTATCCACTCAAGAGCGCACTCGATTTTAGAAAGATATGCATTGCTTATTTGCATGGGAATAATTTGGGCTTTTGCGGCTATCTTAACTGCTGGTGGTGTCTATAATAGAGTCAAGGACCAGACAAAGATGAGTTGTCGCACAGATCGCAACTTCCTAGTATCGTCTGCCCCATGGTATGTCCACCGAAGTTTAGGCAGCTATATATATTGCTCTTAGAATTATTTCCCCATTGGTAACTACAATTAGTTCTTGTAAATATTTAGATCCTTTAATTGATCATCTTCTGATATTCGTGGGTAATATCTAGGATAAAAATTCCATACCCTTTCCAGTGGGGTACCCCTATATTCAGTGCAGGCAGTGTATTTGGGATGATGGGTGCTGCACTTGTTGCGTCAGCAGAGGTTTGAACACATTCACATAAAATTTTATAACTTTGCTTGTGTTTTCACGATGCAAGTATTATGATATCAGATTCTGTAGCTGAAAGCTGATCTAAATATGTAGTAATGAGCTGCATTCGGCAGAAGGATGCTGGCATATTTATTTGATCCATCTTAATGAATGATTCATTTTCTGGTGCAGACAACTGGAACATTTTATGCAGCTGCCCGCTTATCTGGTGCTACTCCTCCTCCGGCTCATGTGCTGAGCAGAAGTATAGGGTGGCAGGTTGAGGCTGAGATAATATCTTTATTTTGGCTATTCAGTATGGATTAATATGTACTAATTAAGATTTTCTTTTCTTTTGGTATGCAGGGAATTAGCATGCTACTTGATGGACTATTTGGTACTGTCGTTGGTACAACTGCTTCTGTGTAAGTGTCCTGTATATCCAGTATTCACATGCCATTTTTCTGCTGGCAAGCTGAATCTAGTTTGCAAATTTATAGTGCTATTATAGTGTATAATTTTTCTGCTAGCACTCAGTTTAAAAATGATTCGTTGTGTTATTATATAACCCAATTGATTTCTGTATAAAACTCAGTATTTTGGCCATCTAATAGCAGAAAGTGTTCGGTGAAAAAGAACAGGTGTAATTAAATCTCCTTTTTGAGAAACTTCTTCCCGTGCTAGATAGTTTATTAAGTTTCACTTTTGTTGATGGTAGGACAATTATTTTACACTCTTAAGCTTCAGTGGAAGTAAAACTTAACCCCGCTTTCTCTGCTGTTAAGGTTATTGTTACAAGTTTCTAGACCTCTCAAAATCCTGCCCACAGTATATGAATCTATGCAGGGTTGTTTCTGTTACCTGTGGTAGTTATAGGTTTTTCAGTACCTTCACCAAGCTGCTACATGTCTTACATCTAACTCAACTTTTATTGCAGGGAAAATGTTGGACTTCTTGGACTGACACATGTAGGAAGTAGGAGAGTTGTCCAAGTATCCACAGCTTTCATGATCTTTTTCTCCATATTTGGTGAGCAGTTGTGGCGTACCAGCTACAATCAAAGCTTTAATGAAATTAAATACACATATTTGTTATCTAATCTTCTCTCCCAAATTTCTTTTTCAGGAAAGTTTGGCGCTTTCTTTGCATCAATACCTCTACCAATTTTTGCTGCCATTTATTGCATTTTATATGGAATAGTTGGTTAGTATCTTTTATTTCATTTACCTATTTTTGAACTTTGCACATTTGTTGGTTAAGGCCCTTTATGGTACTTAACAACCAACTAGTTCTTATCAATGTATTCTAATTTAATCACTCCCTTGCAGCTGCCAATGGGATTTCCTTCATTCAATTTACAAACAATAATTCCATGAGGAATATGTATGTTTTGGGGCTGAGCCTTTTCCTTGGTATATCGATACCTTATTACTTTATGAGTTACACCATGTCAGCAAATCATGGACCTGTTAATACTGGTGGTTCATGGGTAAGTTATCTACATCAAGTGATGTTTGCATATGTGTGTCAAAGAATCGAGTATTTATTAAAATGTGATTGGCTGCTTGACAGAGATAGAGAGTAGAAAATATGCAAATTGAAGCTATTACCACAATAATTAGTAACTTGTATAAAAATTCTGTTATGTGAAATTTTTGGAGCTACAGTTTTACCTCTATATGAACTATGTTTATTGTAATAAAATCAAATAAAAATTGAAAGACTTGGTAAAATGAGATTATCATATGGAAAACAGCAGGTTGATCAAAAGAGCAATTGTGTGGACTCTTGTTATCGATAAATGGAGATTTTTTTTTTTTTTTTTTTTTTTCTTATGAATATTTATTTATGTTTGCAGTTTAATGACATACTGAATGCAATTTTCTCATCACCTGCAACGGTGGCCATGATTGTTGGGACGTTGCTTGATATCACACTAGAACCAAGGGATACTGCCCTTGATAGAGGTGTCCATGGTGGATTCCTTTCCAAAACAGAAAGGGTGAGGTGAGAAACGAAGAATTCTATAGTCTTCCTCTCAGAATAAACGAGTTCATGCCCACAAGATTCATCAAGTAATAACATCAAATCTTGCCTTGTAAATTAAGGTTTGGGTTTCATCTTTTGTATCTTTAACTTTTTAACTTCTTTTGTGTATGTGATATAGTAATGATATTCATTGCAACATATAAGAATATGTCAAAATAACTTTTACTGGTAGGTATTGATGTTTGATCCACAGGCGCCTATTCCTTTCTCTTGTAAACGACTGCTAATTCGATTAGTTTAGCACAGTTTTCCTCTCCTAGAAGAACAGTTGTGATTTTGTTTGTGTAAACTGTAAACGATTGCAATGTACTTCGTGTTTATTTAATGTAGCGTAGTTTTTCTCTCCTAGATGAACGCTTTGTGATTTTGTCCTGGTACTGTATTATGATCCTTAATTCCAATGCTTGCATTGTACTTAGTATACCAATATGGTGCAAGCATTCAAGAAAATGTTGCTATGTATCATTTTTTTCTTTTGTGGGCAAAAATTTAGGGCGCATTTGTTAAGCATGAAGTGTAGAAGAAATGCATATTTGTTACGGATTGCAATTATAAATTATCTGGATACTGCCTCCATTTTTAAATACTTGCTCCACTTTTCTTTTTTAGCCGTTTTTAAATACTTGCTCCATTTCCTTATTTGGGAAGCTTTTACGATCAATCAATAACTATATACTAAAAGACACACCAGCAATGACACATGTCAGTTTCTGGTGTGTCCTTAGTATTTTTTTAAAAAAAATATATTTAATAGAAAATTTATTTCAGGAAATTATTTGTAAAATTTAATTACTACTTCGTATATTAATAGAAATGTGTTTGCCTTTTTTTAATATTCACATTCAATTAACTAATTAATATGGAAAATAGAATAGCAAAATATAATCTTTGTAAATATTTTCAAAAAATACAATCTTCTACTATAAGTTTTTATGTGGCAAACATAATATTCGTTTCAAGGATACAATTGAGACAACAAAAATTAATGACTAAAAACGAGATATTACAATATATGATCACTAATAAATATATACGTACATGATTTTTTTTTGTCAATAAAAGTGCATGGCACGGGACCTAACCTAGTATTAAATTAATTTTCTCCCACCTAGTGGACCTAGCGTGATCATATTTTTTTATTTTTATATTCTCTCTCCTCCAATTCTCCTCACTACTTTTGTTTTTTTTTTTTTTATTTACAATTTTTATTCTTCCACTTACCCCACTACCTCCATATTTTATTTCTTTCTCCAATTTTTCCTAAAACTCCACACATGGAGAAATGGAATAAGTTTTTTAAAAAGGAGGGAGTAGTACTTTTTTTTTTTTTTGAATAGAGGGAGTAGTACTTTTTGTGTACTATTATGCATGTAGTGGTAATTTTTACCATTATATACGTTAAATATTTTCTACCAAAATATTTACCACCTATTACTTAGTACATTTTTTATCGTATATATTTACTAAACGCATAGGAATTATTCCCTAACGGTTAATCGAAGAAGTATAAGCAAATAATACCAAAGTCAAACAAGAAGCTATTTTGAAAACAAAGGTAGGACTCGTACTCCGTATGGCCCAGAGTTAAGATATTTTAGATAATCTGTGTTTTTTTTTTTTTTTTTTTAAGATAAGCATGAATGATATGATATGTTGGCTGGGCCCGCAGTCCACTGAGACAATGAGGGCTAGAAATTGTTGCACCACGTATGATATTTGTGCAATCACTTTGCTTTATTCGTCGACATGCGAAAAGACTTGATGTGATTATTTTTTTTGACAAAGAGACTTTATGTGAACTTAATGCTTCTTTATGTGCACAATTTTCTAAGAAGCTTCCAACTCTTTAAAATGTCTTTTTGTAATTTTTAGCAGCCTCTAACTATTCATTTATTATTTTCAACGCGTTATAAGTATTTGGGAAGACCAAATTCAATTCATACTCTACGTTCTGATTAGGACACATTGCCTTATCTCTTACAGTCCAGTACGAGTAGTACTCCGTATTTTGTATCATTAATTCATTACTGTAATATTCCACCATAGAAATTGTGATATATTGGGTGTACGTACACCAAAGGATATTATTTACTCATTTTGATGATTATGACTCATTTTATCATCAAATGAGCAAATAAATATCTTTGGATGTAGTGGGTGTACCGTACTCCCGGATGTATATATAGGAATCTCTCAATCAACCATCTAAGTTACCAAATATGGAGTACTGCATTTGGTTTAATTCATACCTCGTATTACCTTTGTTTATTCAAGTAATTTACATTTTGATTTTATAATCAGTAATTCTTTACATATGACTGATTAGAATTTTCCATTGACAAGTGTTAAAAGATAAAGTATGAAATTTTTTTTTTAAAAAAATGGCAATATAAACGTAATTCAAGTCTATTTCAGCAACCATTCAGATTTTCAAATTATTTACCTGAATATTAATAGAAGACTACTGCCTTCTTTTCAAAGCAGAAGGAGTAGCAGTAACGAACTCATCACTCATCTTTGAATATAGAACATTTTCATAGAGTAATCTACACTTGCATTGATTTTTAGTAGCAGTTTATACATCCTAATCTACACTAAATAGCTACCAATCATACCACTTTATACATCATATATTCATATTAGACTAAGATCAGATATAATCACTATATACAATAATAATGTCATTTTACTGCCCGGCATAAGGTGGGATGGGATCCTCTACCACCCTGTGCAATATTGAGCACAGCATGATGAAGGGATCACATACCATCCCTTCCATCCTATAACTGTTCTTCATTCACTCATCTCTCCATAGTGTGCTGTGCCGAACACAGCATATGATCCTTTCCCGTGTGAGCTAGATCAAAACATACCTTGACTGAACAAAAAGTTGTATACAACTCAGTCTGTTAACCAATCTAGGTCAAAACATCCCTTGATTGAACAAATAGTTGTATACAACTCAGTCTGTTAACCAATCCAGGTCAAAACATCCCTTGATTGAATATATAGTTGTATACAACTTAGTTTGTTAACCAATCTAGATCAAAATATTCCTCGATTGAACACAAAATAGTTGTATACAACTCAGTCTGTTAGCCAATCTAGATCAAAACATTCCTCGACTGAACAAATAGTTTCAGTCTGTTAACCAATCTAGATCAAAAGATTCCTCGACAACCTGAACCCTGAGTCCTGCATGAGCCATTTCCAACTCCTTCCACCTCCATGAAATCTCTTCATCACATATAACATGCCGCAATGACTGCAAAGATACTGCAGACTTTGGCAGCTTCTTTATATAGGAACACTCGCGCATGTCAACCTTCTCCAGACTCATCAGTCTACCAAAGTTTTCTGGGAGACATACCAAATTGACACATTGAGAGATGTCAAGGTATTTTAACCTAACAAGCTGGCATATCCCAGGAGGCAGAATTTTCAAATTGGGGCAAGCATAGACTCTCAGGATTTGTAGTGAATCCAACATACCCAAATCAGATGGTAGCTCTTTTAGGCTGTGACAGTTAGTGATGCTCAGAGTCACTAGTGAGCGAAGCCAGCATATGCTCACAGGCAGCTTCACCAGGTCTATACAATGATCTATAGTGAGTTCTGAGAGATGTGGGAATAACCTTGGCATATCCATGACAGATTGGTCAAAACTATTGTCAATTTTGGATAAGACTAGTGACATCTTCTGCAATTTCACCAATGGTATGGTACTCTTGGGTAACTGAGGAACTGAAATCTTTTCGAGCCAAAGGCTCCTCGAATTCGGCATATTAGCAAATACTGATAGGTTGAGAAGGACTGCATGTATTGTGCTGCTGTTGATTAAGATCAATGCCCTTAGCCTTGGCATGTTGTTTATGAAGGGTGGAAGAAAATACTCGCTTGAGTTGAAGTTCAGTACAAGCACTTCAACTTTAGGGAAATCCATGGCAAACCAATCCATTTCTTTCATTTCTCCTGTAGATTGAAATATATAGCATAATCACAGAAGAATTAGGACCATAAAGTAAACCATCAAAGCAATTTTAAGCATATTAGGATGTGAAATCAGCCACTTATGCAAGCAAATGCTGCAACGAATTTTAAGCATAACGAATTGTTGGTTATACCTGTATGGAGTGAAACAATCTGGGCATTGAATGGCTGATCTGCATTCCTCTCCCATTCTTTAGGAAGACTTGCTTCTCTTCGTGGCATAAGCATTCGTTTTCGCTGATTTATTTTCCCAGTATTGCTTAAATGCAAAGCTAGGTCTCTCAATACATCATGCTGCATTACAAAGATGGTATAATAACTACTATACAGATCTCCAGCCCTGTCAATTGAACACATTGAATGTGACCAGTCAAAATCTATGCAAATGGTCGTATTGAACATAAGATTAAATTACTCTTTCAAAATGATTTCCTGGCTTGAAAACTACCTTGCATCTTTCACTATGGTAAGAAGATTCTTCTCCGACAACTCAATAAGAATAGCAAAAGCCTCCTCTTCATCAATGTCATGAATTTCGACCCACATGTTAATCAAAACATCTAGGGGAATCTTCTTGTCCTCAGGGAAGCAAGCCAAGTCCAAGAAACATTCCCTAACCTTTTCTGGCAAGTAAGATATACTTGTTTCCAGCCGCTTTAGCAAATTAACCTCATGAGATTCACCAATTGGCTCACCTCGCGAAAGCCTGTTCTTTGCACTTATCCAGAACATTTGTGGTTGCCCTCGCAATGAAGCTCCAATGACTTTTAGAGCCAAAGGCAGCCCCTTACATTCACTGACAAGCTATAAACAAACCAACTTCAGCATAATGTAAAGAGCAGAAGAATTGAAGACTAACAAATCACAAAGCTTCAAGACAAATACTGAAGCAATACCTGCTCGACTAATCGTTCATCAGCACTGACAGGAACAGAATTCTTCCCAAAAGCAGAGTGACAAAACAAAGCCATAGCTTCAGTATGGTTCAACAGCTCAACCTCATAGGTCTGGTTAGCAACAGTTGGAAACTTCGACCTGGAAACCACAAGGGTTTTGCACCCAGGCACTCGAAAAATAAGCTGTTCCAGCACTGACAGTGACCAAACATCATCCAAAACCACGAGAGCACGAGCTCCAAATATTGATTCAGATTGGAGGTTCCATTGAGAAGCCTCGGAACTGGTTTCCATATACTCCGTTTCTGACAAAAATTGCCATACCCTTAATCTCATTTCCTCCACATTAGGAGATTGAGATACTGTCAAGTTCAATATCCGGTCATTAAAGTAAGCTGCAAGAATTTGATTCAGACAAAGTCAGAGGCAATAACACCAAAATACAAACTAAATTTAGCCAAAGTCTACTTATTTACTGAAATTAGAAAGTTATAACCTCCATAATTTTGACTAACATACTTTCTCTTCTTTGAATTCAATACTAGTAACAATTTACCAGAAATTTCCAAAGCAAAAAAAAAAAAAAAAAAAAAAAAGAGTACTCCATAATACATAGCAGCTAGCACTAGTTTGGATGAAAAAAAAAAAAATTCAATATCATTCTATCATATTTGGTGGAATGATTCATATCATATACTTGAATATTAAAAGTACAATACTTAGACAGATCACAGAGGCAACGACACTTGACGATTAAATAACTTACATTTAAGTTGATCATCCCTACAAAGTTCTTTAACAAAGGTAGTTTTACCACTCCCACCAATCCCACAAATCCCAAAAATACCATCACTTTTTTCCAATAAAATCTCCCTAACTTTCCTAACACCCACTTCCAAACTCACCCCTAATGGCCCTAAATTCTCCAAACTACCCTCAAACCCCCCTTCTAATCCCTCCACTCTCTTAATCTCCTCCTCCACCCACCCACCACCAACACCTCCAATCCTCAACGACCCAAGTTGCCTCTCAATCTGTCTAGTCGACCCATCAATCCGATCAAACCGCTCGGCCGAGTCAAACCTAAGATGATGAACATCAGCAAGAATATGAGCCTGCATAGGACCGTGCACAAACCTTGACACCTTCTTCTCAAGCTTCTCCATCTTCCTAGCTAGCTGCAAATTCTTGTACACATTCCATCGGTTCGATGCAAGAACCTTCTGCGAGAGCTCCATGCCGTGTCGAAGCAATTCGGAGACTCGATCGAGCTGAGCCTGTCGACACTGAGGTAGCTCAACGCCAGAGTACTTGATTTCTTGGATGATGGGGAGGAGATCACGGATATGGTTACTGAGTTCTTCTGCACTAGCTCTACAAAAAGCTGATTTACGGACGATTGCGAGGAGGTGTTTGAGGAGTTCAGTGGCGATCTCGCCGGCGAAAAGATCAGTCACGGCCATAAGTGTGGACGTGAGTGGAGTATGATGGAGAGAAACAAAGAGTGAGTGGGGGATATGGCGGGGTGAATGTAGTCAATTTGGTGGGAAGACTAGGAATAGTTTAATTTATAAAAGTCAATAAGAATCATTTGTTTTTTTTCTTTTTCTTTTTTTCTTTTGGGTAGGTCCATTGGATAAGAGAAAGTTGTTTTTTATTGGTGAGTTGTCAACTATCCGGCCAAGCGTGATAGGTTGATACTCTTCTAGTTTGATAAGGTACATAAAATACTCCCTCAGTTTTTAAATACTTGTTCCACTTTTTTTATCCAACCGTTTTTAAATACTTGCTTCATTTCCTTATTTGAGATGTTTTTACAACATTTAATTAATGTCTCTCACCCAATAGACCCAACTTAAATCATATTTTATTAATTTTATATTCTCTCTCCTCCAATTCTCTCCACTACTTTTACTTTATACAATTTTTTATTCTTCCACTCACCCCACTACCTTCATATTTTATTACTTTCTCCAATTTCTCCTAAAACTCCGCGCATGAAGAAATGGAGCGAGTATTTAAAAACGGAGGGAGTAGCAAATACTACCTCCGTTCCATATTATTTGCAACGATTTCACATAAAATAGAGAGGAAAAATATCTAATCGTTGCAAATAATATGTAACGGAGATAATATATATTCTATTTTAAAAATTAACACTGATATTAATTGGTTGTTGGAGTAGTGATGATTGGGACTACACTTGATAGGGAGGATTGCGTATTTAATCCTTTATAACAATAATCGGAAGGGAACTAAAACCTAACCATCCATTAATTAACAACTAGTGTTCAGCTCGGGCGATGCCCCGAATCTGTCGTTAAATATTCTTAACTTCGTATTACAATTATTATTATTTTTTTATTAATAAATGATAATCCTAAATACTTTTATTATAGTTTTAGTTGAAGAAAATAATTTGAAAAAAAAAATACGTGGCCTATATTAACTATATTTAAGAGGAATAAATAAGCAAAAGTATTAGATAGCAAAGTTGATATGATTTCTTACTCCATTCCCAATGGACCGGGTTCAATTTCGCTCCAATGATATTGCAACAATGGACTTTAGCGCTATTTTTATATCTCTTTTTTTTTTTTTTTTTTTTTTTTGGAACGAGCATCATTCATCTCTTTTATTTAACCATATAATATGATTTATACATTAAACAAAATATAGTCATGTAAAATTTGTTAGATTCGTCTCTTAAAATACTTTCACAATATCAACTTTTTATAATATTTACTCTTATATTATATCCAAAATTTAACATATAAAATGTGTTTTGAAATACGTAATTTCATCCTTGTTGCAATATTATTGGAATGGAAGAAATAATATATAACAATAGTGCATTACTACTTCCTTAATTACTAATGGAGTTTACCACTGTTAATTATTAAGAGCATTTGATAACATTTTATTTAACTCAGGAGTATATGGTAAATTTGAAAAAATTTATTGGTATATGGTGAATAAATACTTGTTGACATTTTTATTAAACACAAGGGTATATGGTGAAAAAAAACCCTAATAATTACAAATTATTAAGGTAATAACAACTTCAGTTTTATTACTAACCGTGCATAGCACGGGCGTTAAACTAATTTCAAAAAATAATAATAATAACATTTTGAAAAAATAAATAATAATAAAAAATAAGAGGAGGGGGGTGGGGGGTGGTTGTTAAACCATCTAAACATGCCTAAGTAGTCATTTTACCGCAGAATCATACCTAGACGTCCGAGACAGGAGGTGCGAGCATAAACTTTCACCTTTCTCCTTAGGTTTCTGCTACAATGCCATGTACTTTAAATAAATTTGAGTGCCAGTAGCAATAAAAATAAGAAGTAAAATCTAATATATATAAATAAAGTAGGCATTTTTCGGGAGCATTTGGCGTGCCACATAAGCAGAGGTATATTTTCGATCAATTAAAAATTAGATTTCTATTTTATTTTAGAATTAAAAAATTCACTTGCCACCTAAATAAAAGTGACGAATGAGATTTAAGAATTTTGCCACGTAAATAAAAATAACGAATAGTAATTTATCATGATTTAATTTAATTAAAAAACTAAAAATTATCTTTTAAAAATCATCATTAGATACAAGATTTAATCTTGATAGTGTTTATGATAAGAAATAAAAACTATTCCTTTATTATAATTAAATTAAAATTGTGATGCCTATCACTATAAATTGACGCATCCTATAACACCAATAAAATTTCGTGATTGGGGACTATTCTTTCACCTTTCCGTTAAGGGAACCGCAAAGGAATATGTGCATACAAGCAAAAGATGTTGCTACCGACAATGCTTTGCATTGGTTTTATGGCAGCCAGGGTAGGATCAAAGGTATCTATAGCCTCGATCTCACGGACAACAAGCAGTATGAAACGCCGATTCATGAGGTTTATGGATTACCAATAAAATAAATATATTAATTTATTTTATAAGACTATAAAGATTAATTTTATATAAATTTATTTTTGCTAACAATGCTTTGATTAGATGGAATAGATATGGGTGTGAACGAAGTTGGTGATTCTATCAAAATAAAAGATAAATAGTATACATGTTTATAATATTTTTATTTCGTTAATAAACAACGAATAATGATTTAGCATTTAAATTATTTAGAAAATAAGAAAATTATCTTTTCACATTAAAGATTTAATCCATGTAACCAATAAAATATCATAAAGATATCATATTTCAATTTATTCATATTTTTAAACCTAATTGTCATATAATGAACAACCACAAATAAAATACAAAACAAAAATAAATAAATAAAGTCGCATTATAAATTACATTAGAAAAAAATATATACTTTTGTAATAGGCAATAACAATTTAATTAAATTATTATGTTTTTTTGTGTGTGTGAAATTATTAAATAGTAAAATAAATTAAATAATTATTAAAAAAAACTTAAAATCTATATGAAAATATCTTTTCTTGAGATGATTTATATATAAAATACCCGTACAATCGCACAGGTTTTCATCTAGTTTTAAAATAAAAAAGAGAGATATACCGCTAATGTTCCAGCATCCAAGTTGATAAACACTCATTACATCTTATAATAGTTAGCCGTCATTGTTTACACCTACAAAAAGCTTTCTAACCGTTAATTGGTTCTCTTGATATTCCAGAATCAAGTATTTTAATTTGTTTTTTAACCCAGGGAGAATCACAACCACCGAGCCATAGCGCTTCACCAGAAGTCTTGTGCTTGAAATCTGGTTGCTTTGGATTCTTCTTACTTTTCCGATTGTCATACCATTCATCAGGATTAGCAAAGAATTTCTTCCACAGTTTCTTTTGAGCGCTAGATTTACTTTCACCTATAAAACCACCAAAAAATAAAAATGGATAAGCCTCACTGATTTGCGCAAAATAGGAGTCTGGGATCAGACAATGACTTCCAAAATCCAAACCCCAGATCATGATGACCAAGTAAACTGTAAAATGTATGTTAATGTACAGAAATATTAAGCTGAGGTATGCATGGCAGCCAAATCTGCTAACAAAATTGCAAATTTTAAATCTACATATGCAGCCTTATTACAGCTTTACCTTCCACTTAATTATGACAAGATTTATGCAATTTAAAACACTGATTATTATATACATCTACAATTATATTATATTCTAAAAGTGACACCATGTTCATAGGCTAGTCACAAAATCGAGATAATCAAAAGAGAAATCATTTCCTAGCTAGTAATATGTATAACTTACGAGTTTCTGATCCTGAATTTTCAACACCCTGGAAATTTTCTCCAGGCTCATCCAAAGTGAATTCCTCTGCTGTCACCTGCAGAAACCATTTGAACATATTAATGATCCTGTGATTGAATATGAAATGTGTGTAATTCTAAATCTGTGGATCCAACCCATATCAGTTGCAATAAGTGGATGGAAGGCACATTGTTGAAACATATCACATCCTAATTAGCTTCACCGTTGTCAGTTTGTCACACTAGATTAACATATGACTAGGCACATCTGCCTCTTACCCTTGCATCCTACATGTTTTGCAACACCTTATCTTTCCCGTCTACCTCAAAGTACTAGACTAGAAACGCTCCGAAAAAAAGTGTTCATCAAATTTATATATTGATTCAGCTTCAGCACTAAAAACACCAATATCTATTAAGGGTCTGTTCTCATTGACTAAAATGAGCTGAGCTGAACTGAACTGAACTTATTAGAGCTGAGCTGAACTGGAATGAATATTTTATGAGAGAATGAAATTAGGAGCTGAGCTAAACTGAACTGAACTTAACTTATTAGAGCTGAGCTGAACTGAAATGAAAATAATATGATGAGAACATGCCCTAAATTAAGAACTCAAGAGGATTGCTTCATTTGTAGATAGTAAGGTGAACTTCAGTTATATACCAAAAAGCTTCCCCTCCCCCTCCCCCTCAGACCTCAATCCCTTTAAAGTTAGTTGCCTTTGTCTCATCAGCCCACACCACCTATATTGCACCTTTTTACAGTGCCCTTCTCATACAATATCATGTCAGCAAGGGTCATGTATCATACCTTGAAATAAAACTATCTATAGGAAACCTAAAGTAAGCAAGAGAATAGAGATCATAACAGGTAATGTACATCACAATAACAAATGAAACGGCTCTCTCCTAACAAACAAAAGTTTTTCCAACAAGCAACCTAAAACAAACAATAGGCAAAAAAGAAACACAACTTTCATATGGCTAAACAATTCTTATGCAGCATTAAATCAAAGAGCACCTTGAGGATATAAATGTGCATCAATCTTTCTTCGGATAATGACTCAAACTAAAAATCGATAATAGATTATATGATATTAACAGCCATGATTTTGGACTATGTTTCTGTTGTCATACCTGTCAAGTTACTAAAGTTCCATTTCATCCATAATAAACATCACTAGACCTAAGAGATAAATCTAGTTTTCACTTGTATCATTGACAATCTTCATTGCTTACATTAAGGTTTATCTCCTCCAACAGCTCACCAGACACCCATTTGGTTGGGGAAGATTTGGATGTCACTTCATTATTTGCTCCTCCTAAAACTCTAGAGCCAAGTAATTCAACTTGTTCTTTAACCCATAGAGGATCACGTTCACTGAACCAGAGTGCTTCACCAGAACTCTTATGCTTGAAATCTGGTTGCTTTGGATTCTTCTTACTTTTCTGATTGTCATACCATTCATCTGGATTGGCAAAGAGTTTTTTCCACAAATGAAGCCTGTCATTTTTCTTTTGCAAGCTAGATTTACCCTCACCTATAAAAACCACCCAAAAAA